GGCTTTTCAAGGACCAGTCACAATATATGTACAAATTTTGCAGTTTACAGGAAGCATAAATTTTGAGCTCTTTAATTTAATATGGCCCATTCCACAGAAAGTCTTTTGTCTGTCCAATGTTGGCATTGGTCAGCACACTTGCACCGTTAAGCAGGAAAGGTCTAGACCGAGGAGAACAAGTGACTTGGTTCTTCTTTTTTTAGGAAGCGTGCCCAATGAAACCAGGAGTTCTGATTAAAAAGGGTAACAACCATAATTTTTCTTCAAATGATGTCTGAATGATATATGCTGAAGCAATATATTCAACAAAACTGAAAGTGGAACCTTCAAATAGCCTTTTGAGTGTTTTCTTATTAGGAAAATTGGCCTCGAGGGGCGGGTAGGTGGGAACAAAGAGCCTTGAATTGGAGAAGTTTTGGGGGAAAAAAAGAGAGAAGAAAGGGGGGTGAAAAAGACGGAGTAGGATTGACTGACAACTCTATCAGCTGAAGAAAATCAGAAGAAGGAAAACAGAGAAAGAAAAAAAAAAGGGGGGCCTTACGAGGTTGCCAAAACTTGATTGGTCCTGGAGGAGACAGTAAACGATTGTGGGTCAGCTGGAGGGAGGCTGCGCTGGCAGAAAGCAAGTTGTAACTGTGGTAATGAGCTCAATACAGTATGAATTAAAAGAAGAAGAAGGAAAAAAAAACACACTGCAAAGTTTGGAGCATTGCCTTGGCAACGGTGGTGGGATGCGAAACGACAAAAAGAGAAGAAACCGAGCAGAACAAAAAGAGTCAAGCCACTCTTAAATTTAGAACTGCACAGCTACTCAGTTAGAGTTGAGACGGCCGCATCAGCTGCTGGTATTTGTCTCTTTTTTTTTTTAACAGATTAACATTTTCAAAGCGAGTCTTGCACTTCTTTTCAATCGCTTTCCTCTTTCGTTTCTGTGTATACACGCACTATAATGAGAGACATCTATTACCGTACTCCAAAAAAGGGCAACGATCCAGTCAGAAACCAGCAAACGTGCCGGCCAAACCTATTTCAATCTCAGCTAAACAAAGGGAAGACAGCTCCTTATTGCATTTGCCACAAAGGGACTTTAAAGAAGACCGAAAAAGGAGAGCGACCGCAAAGGGAATATGTTGAGAATCGTCGACCCGGGGGCCTGTCGTTAATCTGCCCGTTGGATCTTCCCAAACTCTGCTGATGATGTCTTGGTCCATTTAGCAAAACCCCAACTTCTTTTTTCTCGACTTTTCCGTTGGTTTCCTCCCGTTTGCCGCAGAGTCATCTTTCCAAACTGTTTAACCTGTTTAAACATTGCGAACTATAGAACATCTGACATCCAGCCTTTATGGACAGATTGCCAAGATTTCTCTCGCCACATCTTCAGAAAGAGGCATCATCTGATGCGGCCTTCCACAAGCCGTCCTTTGGCAAGGCATGAGCCTGAACGGGAGGTTCTCGGTGGACTTGAGTGGCTATTATTCTTCTGTAAGCTGGTTTTCCATTCCTTACTTTATCTCACTCCGTCGCTCCCTCCTTCTCTTTTTCTCTTTTCTTTAGTCCTTTGTTAGGAGGTTGCTTCCTGCGGTGAGCGTGGCACTGCCCAGGCACATGTTCTGTGGTAGGCCTGATTACAGCCCTGCTGTAGTGCTGACATTGGCCTGCACCAACTCCTCATCTATAAACACACACACACGCGCGCACACACACGCACACACACATTCGGTGGGCCCTAAGTTCCACCAACTCTGCCAGCAGCTACCGCGGCATGACTTCACCCGGCAACCATTCTTTGCGTCAAACAAAATGCCTCTGTCACCAGAAAAAGAACGGGAGTTAGGAGGAAGGGAGAAGAGAGGCGAGGGGGGGAAAAAGAAGAAAGAAGAAGAAAAGGAAAAGAAGGGAAGAATGTAAGATGTGCGGTAGCTGTGTCAAGGAGTTTGATGTGTTCGGACGCACTTTGGGATAATTTTAGTCAAGAGGCAACCGAAGACAAGCCGCTCAGAGATTGTCTATGAAGGTGGAGTGGCAGGAAGATTTGCCAAATTAGAGCAAGCATGTAATAATGGGAAGATGAAGAACACAAAGGATTAGTCCGGCCTCAAGCTAATGCATCAACTAGACCAGTGGTTCCCAAACTTTTTCTTCTGCGCCCCCCCAGTGGTTTCCAAACATTTTCTGCGCCCCCCCTATAGATTACAATGGCTATCTGGTTGAAACGACGCGTGTGACGGAGGGGGGGGGGCAAAATGAATGTACTAGCTGAAAATAGACACCAACATCGGTAGCCTACAAGGTACTTGTTAAGCTTAAGGCTCTGTATTGATATTAGCTAGTCATCTTTTAGCTAACATTACCTGCATCCAACAGCTTTACTCAACTCAGTCGGTTAGTTTGGAGGGAAAAACTGTGAAAAGTTCTTTGCGTTTTGCTGGTTTGCTGCCGTGATTCTAACACAAACCTACGTAGCTCCGCACAGCAGCAGCAGGTCTCCTTCACAGGTGGAAACCCAGCGCAAGCGTCATAGCGCTCATGTTGCGTTTAAAGGCGGCTGTAGACAAGGTGCAGAGCTGGAAGGTGCTAACAAGATCTTTTGCCACGAGATCTTCTGAGCAATATTCTCAATTCTGAACACAAAAGAAATTTGCGTTTGCTCGATGTTTTTCTTTTCCTATAGCAATCCTTCTTGACAATATATCCTATACTGTTGCTCACTTTTTTCCATAGACATATCTCAGTGTGATTTTGCCACCATGTCATGCATGACTCTTGAGTATTTTCCAACCTGATAGTTCGGTAGACTCTATTCAAATTGTTGACTAAAGTTGTAACATTAGTTTCATTTTCAGCTGGTGAAGTTCACTTCCACCCTGCACTCTGTCAAATGAACCAAACGCTTTGAAAACCTGTTCAGCCCCTGTGGTGGCGCTGCAGCTTGAGCAGCTGAACAAAACAAACCAAAAACCTTTGAAAGAGACACTTTACGCAACTCCCTTCTTCACAGAATGTGAACAAAAATGGAGTGCCGTCAGATTTGAGCCTTTTCAGGATTTGTCTTTTGTCTTTGGCAAAAGATCACAAGCCGTTTCACCCTCTCGTTCTCGTCTTACACGTTTGTTTAGGTTGTATTGAATGCCCTGCGCTATAGTCCGCTTGCTGCTTTTGGAACGGTCGCCGGTCCGCCAAGCGTTTACATATACATTCGAACCGCACCAGAGTTCACTTCAACCAAACGGAGATGTAAATCTGTAGGCGGACCAGGGTTCGCTTTTGCGGTCTGCAACAGAGTTTGATTGCCCATTTACACACCCCCAAACTAAAAGGACTAAACATGGCTGGTCTGAATGCAGCCAAAGGCGTGATAAAGGCTAGTCAAAGAATGTGATGCCATCCCACAGCAGTGTGTGACCAAGCAGATCGACTTGGTAATTCGACTTGATAAGTTTTCATGGGTACAACCTTTATATACTCCGCTGCTGCATCCACAGATGCATTTTCTATATAAATTTATACCTACAAAGAAAAGATGTATAAGATATATTGACCTTTCTGAAATGCAAAATACATTTTGTAAGTATTTTGTAGTTGGGTACTGGGTAGTTGGGATTTACTTCTAAGCTATTGGGGCAAACCTAATTTTATTCCATTTTTCATTAACCTTGACTGCATTTGACCATATTTTCTTCAAATTCTGCGTTTTCATGAAATGTTAGTTTAAAAAAAAATATATCCTCCCAACCCCATGCATCAATTGCTTGGCATTATCTGGATGTATCATCACATCTTTACATTCTACAAGTAAACCCTAGAAGAACGTTCAGTCAACTGCAGCTTAGTAAGCAATGCAGTCGCACGCGCTCTGAGAGCAGGTGGCTCCTCTGTCGTCATCTGCACTGGGGGATCTCTCTCTTCTGAAGGATGTGTGTGGAGCTGAGCAGATCAGATATTTAAAGGCTCAAGTACATACAGAAAAAAGCTATCTCTTAATCCATCTCGTCTCAAAATATACATTGCCACGAGATCTTCTGGCAATGAAGATTTTACAGATTACAAAATCTGTGAAATATTACAGATTTTGTAATGTGACAAAATCTGTAATATTTGTCACATTACAGATTCCAGGTGAAAACGATATGAACCATATAGATCAAAATAATTTGAATGCAATGTTAATGAAATGAAACCTGGAGATGTAAGTATTATTAATTTAGTACAGTGCAGGAAAATCATTGATGAGCAATTCAAAATTCAAAATATTCTTTTTTTCTCACTACGCTACACACAAACCCATTGCCACGGAAACTGACTGACAACAGCCTCACTAATTTATCAGGATTTAGCACGAAAAAAAAATATTTTCCTCACAAAGAACAGAACATTCAGTCCATTGCAGTGTTATATCTTCAGGTTTGATGTTTATTTTGCGATTATTAACAAGTGATAGTCTGAACACAGCGGTGGTTAGTTAGCTAATTCAAACACCTGCTCTACTGATGATCTGTTAGAGAGTTGATGTGTGGATCACCTTTTTTTAACTGAACCGAAACAAACTGAGTTCTGCAGCACATCAACAAGTTAAGGTTGTCAAAGTCAAGCTACCATAACTAACCTACTTCTCTCTCCCTCTCTATTTTTATTCAGTTACATTTTTTTCCTGACCTGTGACATGTGATACTATTGAACCTTGTTATCTAGCTGTCGTAGTGTTGACAATTAGTTGACACTTAATAGCAAAGCACATAGTTCCTTACATATTATGAGTACATTTAAGCTAAAACCAATGATAGTCATCGTCTGTAAGCAGCTTTTTGCCCTCCAACAGAACGCTGTAGGTCAGAATCTTGATCGTGTGACGTCATGTTGTGACGTGTCTATAAAAAAAACCTTTTTAAAGTAAACAAACAAGGCTTAACCTGGTGGGGTGGCAAGTAAAGCCTGGCAGCCCGCCAGGCTCACAATACACTGGGGGAAGCACTGAAGTTTATACAGGTTTTTCTTTGTTGCAGGAGCGGCTTCACTATGAGACTCTCAGCCAGCATCTGGGGAAGCTTGGGGAGGACGCAGGGAAGATGGTCCATCGAGTCATCGACCTGACGAGACCAGAGGATCTGGATGGTGGGTGCCTCTGTTGGACATCCACTCCACTTTTTAACCAAACTTTTCCTTTTTTGCTGCATGTTACATGTTTTTTTTTCTTTTTTCTGATGAGATTTGTACTAATCCAGGCAACTCAAAATCATTGACAGACATATCAAACGTAGATCAACAAGTGTTAGTATAGATATAGGTGGCCTGCTCCAGTAGTTTAGTTGGCTCCAGGACCTCACTGAAGTACGCCGGTGTCTGATGTCTTTGAAACATTTAGATGACATTAGCTGTTAAAGTGTCTCCAGTGTGCAAAACCAAAGCCGGACTGAGCTTAAGGCAGTCCGGCTTTGGGCTGCCTTCATGATGCCTAGAAATGATGAGGAATGACATCTGAGTACCTAATGTTCCATACGGCTTGTAGTAAGCATTCCGCTCAGCATAAAATATTCTCCCTGGATATTGCCTTGGATCACTCTGACCTCAACCCACCTGTTTCTCATAAAGCACCAGTGTTTACACAAGATGAGAAGCTGAGGAGTACTCATCATGATTTAGTTTAGAGGCAGAGGATAAACACGGGAGCCTGGGGACTCAGATAGTATCAGTCAGGAGCAAACCGACTACAGCGTGCAGCGTTCATGTCAAGAAGTGGAGGGCATCCCAGAAAGACCTCTCTAGACTTTTGTTGTGCTCCTCAACCCAACAGGGTTAAATTATTTGTCAGACTTTGTTTTTTCTGATGGAAAGATGGGAAATGAATCTGACAAATATAAAGCGAATGTCTTTGTTTGTCATCTCTTAGGGAATAATATCACAGAGGCACGGGTGTTCAGAGAGGCACGAGGCAGGAACAGCAGTGAGCCCCACATCAAGAGGCCCATGAACGCCTTCATGGTTTGGGCTAAAGACGAGAGGAGGAAGATCCTGCAGACCTTCCCCGACATGCACAACTCCAACATTAGCAAGATCCTGGGTGAGAATCTTGACTAGTCCACTTTGGTCAAAGAATGTTTATTTCACTCAAGTTTGCTGGCGAACTAAAGTATGAACTCCTTCACAGCAACAGCTAAAACCAGTATCAAAGTTTCAAACGCCTTTCCTTAACCAAATGGTTAAGGAAAGGCCCTCCAACAGAACGGTGGAGATCAGAAAAGGCAATGGTCTACCAATTAGACCTTAATGTCAAACAAAATGAAAATGGTTTATTAGTTTAGTAGTTATTTCCTGCCATAAACAGATACATCACTAGCATTAGCAATTAGCATGTATTTGCTCAATTTGACAATTTTGAAAATAAATTTATTTAATGGGAACATGTCAATTCCGGTTTGTCCTGTCTGTCTCTGTGTTGCCTTGCAACAGACTGGCGACCTGTCCAGGGTGACCCCGCCTTTTGCCCGAAACGTTTTCTGGATATACCTCCTGACCCCACTAGGGACAAGGGTGTACAGAAAATGGATGGATAGAATGTTTTCATCAACAGACTATTGTTTGTTGATGAAAAGTTTTGACACTAAGATGAGGAAGAATAAAACGACAGGAAGTTGTGGCGCGCCGGGTTTTTTAATGACTTATTGCGTGAACAAACTAATTGAATTGTGATATTGTTTCTTATTTGATGGAAACACCGCAATTGCGACATTGTATTTTTTTCAGCAGTAATGGACGTAAACGACAGATGACATAATTGTCGGTGTTCTACTCAGCTGACGCACATTATCAATATACATTGTCTGGGCGTTGTTCCAAACAATAAGCACTATTTTTGTAATGCTAGCTGTACTAATTATGCTAATTGCTAATGTAGAATGCTAAATACATGTGAGATCTGTCATTGTTTTGTTTGCTTTAAAGACTGTCTAAAGCTGCTTCATTCTGGCAGGTCAAAGCTTTGCAAAACTGGATAAAAAACACAACAACAAAAAACGGTTTAATTTGTAGGAACAACTTTTATGCTAACTCAACCCAAGATATCCTCCCTCCCATCCCAAGATAAAGTAACGTTTTTTTATTTTTTATTTGGCGCTCCCATTAGCTTACCCTCCCTCTGTATTTCACAGTTCACAGGGTTCCTTACCAACAAACTGCAGATTATGAGAGGCACTAATGTGTTTTTCAGGCCAGGAACGCGGCACACACAGAGCTCCACTGTGCCACCTTGACTCGTGTGATGGATGCATTCAGTTGAAATCCTTGTGGATTCTGACCTCCTCCACACAGATATCCATTCACGCCGCGCTGAGCGTAACGGCTGTTTCTCAAAGCATTCCTCAGACCTCCGATGTCCAACGCAGAGTCGGAGCCAGCAGAACCTAAATGCTGCTCCTGAGTGAACGGGCCGCTTTTTTTTTTTTTCCTTCAGAGGTTCTATGGTGTTGACTTGGTTTTGATTAACAGGCGTCATTATTTCAGTGAAGAAAACTGGGAATAAGTCCTGTCGGCCGTTATTATGCTTGTGTAATGAGACTCCGAGAGAGAGAGAGAAAAAAAGAAATTGTGTACGTGTATACGACCGTACGTATACAGTCCATGTCCTTCCAACACAAAAACACAGCTGGACTTTTTGGGGGAGAAGGTGGGTGGCAGGCTCGAAACAAACTCCCCTGTGTTTCCTGTGTCACAAAAGTACAAGGAAAGTTTGTGATGAACCTCGATAAACAGACAAGCGAGGCTGAGTGTGTATAATCAAAGTACTTCACAGATGTGCTGCCTTTCTGCCGTAAAGACCTCATCCACTTGTTCGGAAGGTCCTCTTTACCAGGAAACAGTAGAAGTACACAATGTGACATTCTTCCTGGGCTGAGAGAGAGCAGACAGGAATCCACTCCTGGCTTTAAACAGCCTCTAATACCTGATGGTGGCTGTCAGGTTAATACGGCGGCGCAATAGGACTGTTCTAGGTAGGGAAAAACAGAGGAGTACATTTCTGCCATAAAACTCAGTAATTTTGAGAGTAATCTCATATGTTTTTTTAGAAAAACAAGGAAATTTATGATCTTCAAAAGTGGAGAACTTGTGGGAAAAAAAGTTTTTCAAGTTTTTTCTGACATTAATCTCAAAACTTCTAAGTTTTTTTCTCGCATGTTTTCCTCTTCAAACTCAGAAATTTCCAGGTTTTTTTCTAGAAATTTCTGACATTAATCTCAACATTTTTATGCTTCTTTCTAACAAATGTTTAACTTTTAGAAAAATGTGTGGAAAAATTGATGTTTCAAAAGTCTAAAATTTTCAAGCTTTGTTTTGTTCTTGCCATAGATTGACATTCAAGTAAAAAAAAAAATTAAAAAATACAGTAGGAAAGCCAAAGTATAGATTACAAATGTATATGTTTTTAAATGTTATTCTTTCACTCTTAAATAAAGTTAATTTCTACATAAATTGTATGTTTCAAGTTATTGTTGTATGAAAGAAAAGACAAAAATTCCAACGCTGCGTTTCAGGTTCTCGCTGGAAAGCCATGACCAACCAGGAGAAGCAGCCGTACTACGAGGAGCAGGCCCGCCTCAGCAAGATCCACCTGGAGAAATATCCCAACTACAAGTACAAGCCGCGGCCCAAGAGGACCTGCATCATCGACGGCAAGAAGCTGCGCATCGGGGAGTACAAGCAGCTGATGCGCTCGCGGCGTCAGGAGATGAGGCAGTTCTTTGTGGGGTGAGTGTGGCTGGGGTTTCACATTGTGCTTTCCGAGCCTGTTCTAACGTTTCGGATGACACGTCATTCCTCTCTTGTACTCGTAATCGCAAAAAATGACGAGAAAATCACATGTTAGGGATCTGTTGAATCAATTGATTTTATTTGTAAAGCACCTGTCATAAAAGCAGCTCAAAATGCTGATCTATTAAGATCTTAGAGTAACAAAATGCTGCACACATTTATTGTAAATAAAAAGTGTGGTCTGAGATTGTCCCAGTGCAATTTTAGCTAAAATTACAAATGTTGTAACATCATTTCATTTGACCTGAATTGACTTGTTCTGCTTCTAAAATAATAATTATTATTGAATAATCTTAATATTTTAAATGTCATCAAATGTTTTAACTTTTTACGTGATAGTTTGGAGACTTTGGAGTGAGAGTTTCTTTTAGAAATTCCATTCAGCAGCTAACTCTCATGGCCTTCGTTTAGTAGCATAGGCTAATTGTTCAGTCCAGGAAGCTGAAGCTAAAGGCTAGCCTTTAGCTAGCTCTTCCTAAAAGAGATTAGAAGCATTTCAATTCAAACGTGACAAAGGTTATTAATAGCATTTACACAACCTACGACATTTTTGATTAGAATTACTTTAGGATGGCAGAAGTATTGTTTGATGGCCTCTACCTTCAGCCAGTGGACCAACTAATCTGAGTTTTATATTAAATGAAGACATCAGGATGAGATATAAACTATTTATTATGTTTCAACTGAAATTTACTTTCAAAATGCTTAACTTTTCTTTTTCTGTTTGTCATGCTGCCTGCTTTCTGCTCCTTTGTATTAAACGTTGTTGCTAGCATGCTAACTGCTGTTAACGTTCTAATGAGAGTGATGTGCGATTTTCCACTAGTTTTCACATCGTTACATTTCCCCCCTAATAGACTATTTTGTCTGTCGTGACAGGAAAGTGAAAATTCAGGAGTGTGCAGAAACAAGCAGGGGAGGGGCAGCATCATGTTACTCTGTACTCCAAACAGTCTGTGAAGACTTCAATCCAGATTTTTATTTAAAAAAAGAAGGATTTTATTTTTAAAACATTAGTATTCTAACTTTGAGCATTTATTTTAGGCAAAATTCTTTATGATAAGCACTTTGGTTATTTTGCATTTTATTGTTTTGATTGTTTTTTTTATATACTGAAGTACAAAATGTTGTCATTTGAAGTTGTTTTTTTTTAAATTGTAATACAAGAAGGCAAAAATGAACTATCAACATATAAAATGTTTTCTCTTTCCTCAGAGCAGTATTTGTGCTATTTTACTAAATGTTTCGATGACATCTGATTACTTTATTTGAGGCTTTATTCTCTCATGTGTGCTGCACTTGGAACCCTCATGGAAGGTCTGGAGCCCAATGCGGCTCCATCTGCGAAATCCTTCAAGCATTTGCTTAAGAACATTATATTTTTAAGAGAATAGTCAGACCAGAAAGGTAGGGGGCTGGGAGGGGAACAGTGGCATTGTCTTTAATGGGAACCAGTCGCGGACGTGTTTAAAGCCATCTCAGTGGTCTGAGTTTGAGATGGATCTACCAGAGGCCGCGGCTTGAATCGGGAGCGATTTTTAATAGCTTGTCATTTATTAAATCAGGACAATGGCGGGTGCTTGCGGGCAGCGAAACCAGAGACAGACAGGCAGAGTGGAATATGAAATGTAAGCAGATGTTTGAGAGGGGAAAGAGAGCGGGGCAGACGTCACAGGCGGAGTGCCACATTTTCTGTGTGTGTGGTCAAGTAAATATGAAAAAACGCTCAGGCTCTACCAAGGCCTGGACTTTCAGTTAGAGCCGCGCCGCTAATTCATGGCACAGTCCACACAGCTAAACCAGAGGCGTCTTAATGTGGCAACAAGGACAGGCGAAGACATGTTGGGTGAGAAATTATTTTCCCGCTTCATGTGGTGCGTTTGTTTAAACACTGTTTACCCTCATCCCATTTATATGTCTGCAGGCTAATTAGCTCATCCTGCTGCTAGCAGGTAGCACTCCCTGTTAGCAGCACGCTGGTCCAGAAGACAAACTTTACACTCAAGTTTGTTTTTCTTTTCTTTTAATCCCAACTGCAGGTTCACATTCAAGAATTTTTAGAAAAACATCTTAATTTACTTTGAAGCTACCATTGACTTCTTCATGTTAAAGTTTTATATCCATCTGGGTTTTGAATTACTCTTTCCAAAGAAAAGTAAACTCACCTTCTTCTGTCATAATTGACTGTGATTTGTATTCAGTTTATGAGAATACATGAACCCCAGAGAGGTTAGCAAGACCTCTGCCAAAATGTTAGGAAATCTGTCAGCAGAACACCAACGTTCTCTTTGGCTAGCCTGTTAGCATGCTGGTTTCAGCTTTTATGTACCAACACATGGAACAAAAGAGAACATTAAATAAAATAGCTCTAGTTATTCAGTTCTTCAGTGCAGATAAATTTTCTCTTTGTTTTAACTCCCCAGATTGTTCCAGTTCATTTTTAGCCTGCTGAGGTCGGCAAAATCTATGAGTGACCATGCTGTGCTTACAGTTACAGTAAAACAAGCAAAACACAAAACAAATGAAAGCAAAACACTATACTCTTTCACTTTTAGGGTGTAATTATGTAAGATATACACATTTCATGTAACATTCGAAAACAATTTGTATCTCAAATGGTGACTTATGTTTATAAAGGCCGACAGTTGGAGTTCGGGTTGTACTGTAGGAAAGGCTGTTTGTTAGCTAAAAGCTAAGCAGGAAAGACAACTGGCCTTAGAGGAGTAAATGTCGCTGTCTGACTATCTGTGAAAGGTCGCCATGGCAATTCCAAACAAGTTTATTATTTTACAGTGGGGAATCTTCCAGAAGTGAAGCCATTGAATGAATCTGATTCTGTTTAATGGAAATTATTTCAGAACTTGGCAAAGATGTTAGTTTTGAACTGAAATAGGATGTCTGTGTTTTTGACCTGGACTGCATTTGCATACAGATTTTTATTGTAGTTTTAATTTAAGCCTCACGTAGAATCCGCCATGGCGAAGATATGTGTTTGAAGTTGTGTGTTGTAGTTCACCAAAATTTAACATGGGTTTTCTTTCTCTCCCTTTATTTATTTATTTTTTTCAAATCTCAGGCCTCAACCCCAGATTTCTCTGGGCAACAGCTCAGGAGGCGTTGGAGTTTACCCGGGCGCGATAACCATGGCGACAACGGCGACGCCCTCCCCGCATCTGACCTCGGACTGCTCGAGCACGTCAGCCAGCCCCGAGCCGAACATCCCCGTCATCCAGAGCACGTACGGGGTGAAGTCGGAGCCCGGCGGCGGGGGCAGCAACGGCACGGGCGTCGGCGCCATGGATCTCCCCGGTGACCCCGCAAACGGAGACGACGACATGGACATGTACGAGGACTTTGAGGACGAGCCCAAATCGGACTATAGCAGCGAGCACGAGACGCGGGAAGTGGTCAGCGCCAACTGATCGGGGGAGATGAGTAAAAGTAAAAACGTGACAAAAACAACAACTCCCTTTACGTCCAGAGAGACGAACTCTGAGAACAAAGTTCATCACGGAGATCTCCAGGCAGACTTCTTACTGAGCATGCCCTGGCAAGATCTGAAAGACTTGTGGAACAGTGTCTTGACAGGCGCCCCGTTGAAGAAAAAGGGGGCGGCGAGGGAGAAGGTGTCCCACGAACACGACCTCAACAATCATTCAGACTTTGAGCTGACAAGGAGCTGCAGTTTCCTACACTCTGACAATCGTTAAAGGAGCAAAAAGAGCGAGAGAGAAAGAGAGCGAGACAACGAACAAATGAGCAACAAACGCATCACAACGTGGTGTTTGTAGAGAGCATGCATGGTTTTTTTTTTCACGCATCACAAAATGCTCTTTGACAGCTATTTGGTCTTAAATGTGTAAAAGAGTGTGTTAGTTTTACTATTATGGCGTATTTGACTTTTCGTGACCCCGTTTGGTTTTCTGTTCCATCGATCTCTCTGACAGGTCTCACTGCCTGTACAAACTCTGGACTGTCGGAACTTGAAATTTCAAAAGTTTTTAATATAAATTCTGATTTGTGTTACCTTCTTAGTCTTACCTTACTTTCAACATAGTGCTAAGCCTTTTTCCCCCACCTTACAAACTGCTTATATTATGTTACTGTTAGTTTTTTTTTTTTTTTTTTTTAAGAAATATCCCAGCTCAGGTATGATGTGCCAGCTTGTGAATGTTGTTTTTTTTTCTTTGTTTCCATAAAAGTAGGACTTTTAGATGTTCCATAGGTAGGATTTTTCAGACTGTCATTGAAATATAGGGAGTTAAATCCTTTATAATAATAATAATAATAATAATAATAATTATTATTATTATTATTATTATTATTAAGGAAGGAAAAACCCATACATTGTACAGTTTTCTTCAGATGTGCCAAACATTCACGTTGTCCCAGGATGTTGTAGTCTTAATTTCCAATGCTGCAAAAAAAAAAAACGAAGAAAAAAAAAAAGTCTTATTATACAATCAATTTTTCTATCTGGTGTGATAGATTGTTTTTTTTTGTTTGTTTTTTTTTCTTGTTTTTTGTTTTGTTTTTAAGTAAAATGCTGGTTCCCCTCCTGATCCAGTCACAGTCAGAGCTCAGGGAGGACACGTCTTCGTCACGCTTTCCCCCAGTCACACGAACGCATCATCGCATTGTGTCGCTCCAGGAATCTGTTTCACTTCGAGACACATCGTAGCAGAGTAGCTCATTTTATTTCCAACTGCACTGGTGCTTTCATGAACCATGTTGCTCTTAGTTCCTTCATGCCAAACCAGTTTGCTCGAAGCTTAGCGTAGTGCTATATCAGCACTTATGACCGTCCCTTTAAATCAGGCTAACGACAGAGGTACTTTTTAGCTTTTATTTTTTTTTTCATGTATTTATTTTTTTTACATCTTAAATTAATAATTTCTGAAGTGATGTTTTGTTAAATGGTTAGAAGCACTTGATATTTTACCTGAATTACGTGACTCTTATTTACTATAAATCCAGATTAGTTGGAGTTTGAGGCGGCGCGCGCTAGATTGTCCAAGAGGAGCCAAACATAAAACGAGCTCTTAGGGTTTTAAGACGGGTCTCGTCTCAAAATGTCTTACAATGTAGCCAAATTTTTTTTTTTTTTTTAACAAACTCTATAAATGCATCCATAAGGATTTTAGTAGCTGATTTATAATTATCTTGAGACTATACATTACAATATAATATCTAATACAATACAATAATATGTCATTTTTAAAAAATCTAATTATATGTCTAAATGTTTATAAATAAAAAATAAAATCTCCATCCAGGTGCATCTCTACCATAAACTGCACTGCTTAGTTTTTTTTTTTTTTTTTTAAAAGCAGATGATGGATATTTAAATGAGAAAAAAAGAGGTCGGAGGTCGTCCGCTGCTGATTATTTTCCTGTGTGAAACATATAGAAAGAGTGGAACATGTGAAATGGTTCTGCTCAAACTTGCTGTCTGATGTGATATTCATAGTCAGTAAAATTAAAGGTATTTTAGCAGTTTGAGTGAGAGCTAGTTTATATTAGCACCAACATAGTTTTCAGTTTTGAGTTAGTTTCTGTGACCACACGTGAGCGCTATACGTTCCTCTTAGGAAACGAATATTTCTGTTCCTCCGCCTCCTACCTTCAAGTAAATCACTGTAAATATGCATCCCGTGGAAACGTAATTACAGTTTAGGCATTTGTAAATTGACATTCCCATGGACTGTTTTTAAGATTGTTTTTCTTTTAAGATGGTAAAAGTTCATATTTGTCATTGCTCCTCTCGGACTAGACGTTAGCTTCAGCTTTCTGGTTTGACTGATCTGGATTTATCCCATTTCAATTTTTTGGTCACCTTTCAACAGAACCTCACTTCAAAAATCATGACCTGCCCCTTTAAGAATCGCTGAGTCCTAAAAGGACGTTTGAAGCTGTTCGTACTCAGAATCAGATGAAAGGTGGGAGAGCCGTCTCAGAGAGGTTCTGCTAAAAAGATGTGATCATTGTGGGTTTTGTGTTTTCAATTCGTCCTAAAATGTCTCCTAGCTTGTTTGCTATAATCGTCCTCTTAGAATAATGTGGGAAATATCTGAAAACTCATACATTTAAAGGCAAAATTAAACAGGTCTGTTATTCTAAAAAGATGACCTGTTGTATTTTCATATAGTTCAGAATTAGCTGGACAGAGCTTTCCTCACTATAATGATGCTGAGGGGAAAATATTTGTGCTCACTCGTATATCAAATCTTTTTTTTTTTATTTCAAAAAACTGTTTTCCTGAGTTCTTTTTAAACATTTCTTTAATTTTCTGCTTCATGACAAAAGTTCTCCTCACAACTATTTCCATCTGTATTTATTAGGACTGAACATTAGCTTTTGCTCCTGTTACATTTCTGTCAGCATCATACACATATTAAGCACTGGATATTAATTCTGATGTACTTTTCCTGTTTTTTTTGACTAATGTGAAGTTATTGTTTGATTTAAAACATTACAAATTAGTCAAATAAAATCAGATTTTTTATTTCTTTTTGAGGGGGGCCTCAGTGTTGCCAGGCTCCATTAAAATTGACATTTCTTTCAAAGCATTTTTTTTAATTATTATTATTATTTCAATTATTTAAGCGAACTTTGTTTCTCGCAGCTCTGATCGGGCCACGCCGCCTCTGGTCTCTTTTGAAAAACAAAAAAGAAAAAAAGGTAACCTCATGCTCTTGTTAGTCGTGACCTGCGGAGGCAGAGCACACGTTTTCACGGTCACACACATCTTTATTTTTATTTTATTTTTGTTTTTTTCTTCTTTTTTTGTGATGAGTATTGTATTTGAAATTTCAATTGTGCGTTTTAACATTTCATTGTATTTATTAGCCTGCTTTGGCTCTAAAAAGTGTCAGTACAACTTGGTGAGAGAGACAATCTGAAAAAAAATATATATATGAATAAAAAAAAAGAAAAGACTTCAGATTAATGTTGAAGTGTTATTTACTGTGTGTGTGTGTGTGTGTGTGGGTGTGTGTGTGTGTGTGTGAAAGCAGTGGGACAGGTAGTTCTTTATAAATATCTATTTCCATTGCTCTAAATGGAGCTCTTTTTTTTTCTTCCAAGAATCTAATCATTTCAAACACAAGGCTTTCTGTTTCCAGAGCCTGACTATTCCCCTCAGTCTTTATATTTTTGGTGGCCCATTACAGTAAATGTGGCCTATTGTTCCGCTGTGTGTGCGAGTGAGGTAACGCTACACACTCTGACTGTGCTGCGGTGTAAACGCCACGGCGCCGGCGCTCGCTGCAGCCAATCCAGCGACACAAACGGAGAACTCAGCCACATGCGACCACATAATAAATCTAATTGTAATTCCCAAATCAACTGTAGCGTCACCCTTCGAGGGGCGCCGACAAGTTTGTCGCACTCCTTTGTAAGGTTGTGTGTGTGTGTGTGTGTGCGTTCTGTGCCATAACTCTGAGTTGGGAGGAGTGTTTGAAATCATTCTTGTACCGTTGCCATGTTCATCTCATTAACGAAGTCATCATAACTTACATTTCCTTTTCATTTTCTTAAACATTTTGCAAGTTTTTGCAAGTTGACAGATTGTGCGTGTGTGCGTGTGTGTGTGTGTGTGTGTTGATGGAAAGGTTTAAACACCTCAATACTCGACAGTAGTTTATAACATGATAAACTTTGGTTTACAGCAAAGGCATCGTCACAGAAACCTACGCCTGTTCTTGTTCCAACATTATTAACTTTGTGGGCAAAAATCATTTTTATTTTACTTAAAAGAAATTCACTTTAAATCAACCCAGTTATTAAAAGAGTTTCAAGGAAGAAACAAAAAGAATGTGTTGTTTTATTATCTTTGCATCGTCGAATCAGATAAACAGAAAAAACTACAAAATGTTTTCAAAATAAAATGAAAAAAGTTGGAAAACGTTTTCATTTTCAATAAAATAAAAATGTTTCTATAGGATGATCAATAGTATAAAAAACACAAATCAACATTTTTAAATGCTTAACAGTGTCAAGCTGTCTAATTTTTGTTACATCACACTTTAATGTTTATGCTCCTTTTCTTTGTTTTATTAAAAATAATAAAAGCTTCAATAGTCCTGAAAACTGCAGAATTGATGACTGTTCACAGCAATATGATTTAGAAAAAAGAAATCTTGTAAGAAATGGTTGATTCTCCAGTGACCGCCAACATGTTCCCAGCATTTTCAACAGAAAAAAAAAAGTTTTATGTATTTTTTTTTTTACCTAAACTGTTTCTTAAAAAATAAAAAGACAGACATGCACGAAATGTTCATATTTTGTCTGATGTTGCCACATGCAGAATTTTCTGTGGCTGATTATTAAAATTCAGGGCAGGAGTTGCTGATATTTTAGGTTGATATATTTTATTTTGCCTTTTTGTTTTTTGACCAGAGATCAGAAATTTTCCATTTTCTTCCATGTGGAACCTTTGCAGTAGTACTAATTGCTAGTTTATAATCTTATTGATGGGGTATTTTAAATGAACCCAAACAAAATGTTCTTCTTTTTTTTAAAGTATATTTATGTATAATCTTGCCATTTTCAACACTTTTCTGAACAATTTATAGCAAAAAATGTCTTGCACTACACAAGCCATAATTGAAAGAACTTGTTTTTAAAGCGGAGATAACTTTTTTGTGAATTAGTCCTAAATAAAACTAACAGGGAGAGCTTTTATTTTGAAACAGGAAATTAAACCATGATGTGTTTTGAGCAATTTTTTTTCCTGTTATTGTTCCTCTAATTGGTTATTTGTAGTTTAAGTGAAAACCTTTAGTTTTATTTGTCAAACGGTCACCTTGGAGATCCGTCTCCATGCTGCCAGCAGTGACTTGGACTCTGCCAAAGGTCGTCCCTTCTGTTCATGATCTTTACGGACAGAATTTCGAGACGCAGCCAAAGTGTTGAGGGGATCCGTTTTAGTGGCCTCTGGTTCAGGCCACTGCCTTTTTTTTTTTTTTCTTTTTTTTTGCAGATGATGTGGTTCTGTTGGCTCCATCAGACCGTGATCTCCAGCTTTCCACTGGAGCCAAGTGTGAAGTGGCTGGGATGGAAATCAGCACCATACTGAACAGTCTGGTCACTAGAGCACTTTGTTTGGCATCTTGTTAAAAGAAGTTCAACCCATAGGAATGGCTTAAGGGTAAATTTAACTGGTTTTGAACTTTTTAAAGCCTCTGTATATCCATCGTCTGCGACTGATTATGTTAATAAATGTGGGGAGAGAGTCCCAATAAGCCAACAAAAGAAGTAAAAATAATAATAAAAAAAGGAAAACATGGTTTATAATATTCAACACTGAGATTTGTCTATGTTCTGCCTGGGTGTAAAAACCGACAACACAGAAACAAAAAAAAGTTTCATGCAGTTTATTTTTACCCAGTTCTTGGGTTGGTTTGGGACATAGAACACTCATCGTACGTATAAAAATTTAACGAACTTGCTAAAAGAAAAAAGTTGCGTGTTTCTGGTCAGTGAAAGAGGAACATTAGACTAAAGGAAAGAGAGTTATTCTAGGCTTATCTTAGAAAACAGACACTGGGATGCTACTTCTAGCTTCATTGGAACATATGGAAACCTGCTTGACACCTGCCTGTGTTCCCATGTTGCCTTGGCACCCCGGTTTCTTCAAACCACACCTGAACAGTGAACATCTGGGTGCCTTTGTGCTATATTTAACCTGCTTTAAGGAAAAGAAAGAGTTCAGCTGTTTTATAACACTTCAGGCTGCATTCAAACCAGCCCTGTTCAGTCGAACTCCAGTTCGTTTGTCTTGAACGTCCGGTTCGTTTGGTCCGCCTCCAAACTTGGGTCTCAGTTTCGGTGAAGTGAACTCTGGCACGGTTCGAACGCATATGTGGATCCAAGCGGACCGGAAAAGTTTCCAAAGGTAGGAAGTGGATTACAGCGCAGGGCATTCTGGGTAAATGCAAATAAAAGTCTAAGAAACAACTCATCTTTTACCAGAGACATAAAAGAAATCCTGCAGACGCTAAAGTTTGACGCCACTTTTGTGAAAAAGGAAGTTACACTTATGTCGTCTGAAGCTTTCGTGTCTTTCCTTCAGTGGTTCTGGGTGCAGCGCCCCCACAGGCAAGGGTGGGAACAGGTTTTTCTTAGTTGTTTCATGTGTTTGACAGAGGAGCAGCATTTTCACTGTTGCAGGTGAAAATGTTATGATTCTTATTTTTGCAAGTAAACCTCGTTTAACTTTTCCTAGAGTGTAGAGTAAGTCAGTGTTTTTCAAAATGAGAGGCTGCCAGGGGGCGCTGTGGGGGCCTCAGAAAGTTGGAGGCAAGATGAAAAAAAAAAGTTAATTTAATCCCATATCTGTTATTCAATCATGATTTTTTAAAAAAAATAAAATGTAAAATAAAGTAATTTATTTAAAATTTTTTAAGCTCCTTTTCTGATTGGCTGCTAGTCAAATTCATCATGCTGCTATGCTCCAAAAGCTAACATATCTAGCAAGAAATGGAAATATTTCTGACTACAAAAAGACCAAAGGATCCACTGCAAAAACCAACTAGAACTGCAGGGGAAACATCAAATTTGATGCGAGTAACATGAAACATTACAGATTTTCATATGATGAAAAAAGTATATTATCTGATAACATTTTCTGCCACAGAACTCCTGGTCATCTAAAATCAGAAGGTTTGAGATGAATGTAGATGAATGTAATAATTATTGAATAGTGGATAAATACACATTCTAAAACACACATTTCTTTACATATTTTGTAGCATCGTCTGTGTTCGCAGACAGAAGCTAATGCTCTTTGGTGGGGGCAACTTTTTAATACACAGAAGTGTGAAATAAAATAAAAACATTTGACCTTCACAAAAGCCTAGTTTAGGTCTAATTGAACCCTAAAGCTTCATTATTGTGAATCAGTTGAGTTTTCAGAAATCTTCCTGATAATCTTTGAGGAGCAGTGACATTCAAAAAAGGGGGCAAATATTAGTAATCATAATAATTACCTAGCCATGCTGTGATGGTAAATGTTCCTCTCAGCTCAGTGATTATACACACTTTGAATTTACCTTCCTTTCTCGTGGCTATGCCGTGTGTGGGGATGATGAGGTATAATGACACCTCTTTCTTCATGAAAGTCGGCTGGATGAGGGCCTCGAGGCAAAAACCCACGTTTTGATTCTTCAAATCCACATTGAAGAGCGAGGGGAACCACGTCCTTTCTTTTCTCTCTTCGTTTACCTCTCCTTAGCAATCGGCCATGTAGATCAAGAGAATTCTAAATTGTAAACACAAAAGACGGCCCCCTTCATGACCTCTCTTCTTCAGATGTGTTGAAGAGGCTTCTTCAGGGAGGCATCAAAGCGGAGCGACCATGATGCTGACTACTTTGGGTTTGTGGCGCTTAAGACATTCAAATGCCCGTCAGTCCAGATGAGTTTAATTGGCCTCACACTTTGTTTCTGTTTGGCTGACAGTGAAGGTAAAAAGTTGGCTAGAATCCTCCATCGATACGCCTCATCTGATGTCTCACCTGTACTTCAGCCACACAGCAGCATGGTGCCACCAATGTCATTGTTGTCACGGTTACGTTACTCATGTTTTATTTTATGCATGAAGCCAAGCAAGTGAGAACTCACGCTGCCTGTGAATTAAAGGGGCGGTATTATGTAAAACCAACTTTTTTTAGCCGTACACCATGTTATAATTTTATCCCCTCATTAAACCATGTTGCTTTGATTCTTTCATGCATGTTTGAGAAATCATTTAATCTTCATGGCAACCATTCAGCTGTGCAAAATGCCTGGGTGGACCTAGGACGAAGCTCCTCCTAGAAGTTACAACATCCGCCCCACGACTCCCCCACTCAGCTCCTTCAGACTAGCCAGTAGCTATTAGCAGTCCCACAACAATGTGGGACTGTACATTATTGTAAGGGCTGCTTCTCAGTGAAGCTCTTT